TGGTTTCCGATACGAGAACGCCAAGTAACATGTGAAGTTGGAAAGAGTTTTAAGGTGTTCAGTCACACTATGCTTTTCTCTTTGATAAACTGACGGAGAAGGTGCAAAGAAATTTCAAAGAAGCCTGGGAGAGCTTTAAAGCAGCTGTGACCGGCTTACTGCTAAATGCATATATATATATATATATATATATATATATATATATATATATATATATATATATATATATAGTATAATAATATCGTTAATATAAGAATGAAACTAGTACACAACTTGAACAATTGTTTGACAAACAAATAATATTAATTCTTTCATATCGGTTTAGCAGAACAAAATTCTGCACTTATATAAACACACGCACATATACGCCAAATATACCCAATTCACTCGTAAAAAAGGAAAAGTTACTCTAAAGGTGCTGTTACACTAGCACTTTTTCCGTCAATTTTTTTACAATTTTCTGAAATTTGTCCATTTTTGAGCGAATTGTCGATTCTAGTCAGAGATTAATCGTTTCCGTCTTAACCTTTCCGTCAACTTTTTCAGCAAAGCAGCGAGAATGTTTGTCAAATTGACGGAAAAGTGCTAACAGCACCTTTAAAACCTGTCCGTCAACTTTTTCAGCCAAGCCTAGTCAAATCAAGAACTATAATCGAGAATGTTTGTATTTATGTTAAATAAAATTGTCAAAAAATTGACGGAAAAAGTGCTAGTGTAACAGCACTTTCAATCTCAGGGATGGCATCAGTCTCAAGTCACGCACACAGGGCTAACAAGGCAGTTTGGCTTCTCGCTCACTGCTATTTTCTGGCCAGTCGACCATTTCCCTGCGTGTGGATATGAGCATTTTTATGGGCGGGTATTACCTTACTGATATCGGTATTTGATGGTTTTGTATTCATTTCTAGGTACAGCAATATTTCCTATTGCTATTTACTTGTTCTCACTACTTTGGGTATGAGAATCAAGCAAAAAAGGAATTAAGTTCATTGGTAAACGATTCATATTTCAGCAATTGTAGTATCTTGGTTAGCCTAACGCAATTAATATATTTCCATGGTGTAGGTTCTCGTCAAAGAAGAGATAAACTTTAACACCAGACCGCTAGCAGGAAAATGCCCTCCTACACACACACACACACACACGCACGCACACGCACGCACACGCAACGCACACACACACACACACACACACACACACACACACACACACACACACACACCACACACACACACACAACACACACACAATAATAGGGATATGGTCGCTTACATAAAACCACGGCAAAAAATAACAGTATGGGGAAAGTCTAGAGGGGGAAATATATCTCCCGAGATAATGGTGGCATGTTTTCCGAAACAAATTATTGAATAATTAAAAACGGCACTGAAGTAGACCGGGTATAGGCCTAGTTCTGGCGCGCAAGGATTCCAATTCAAACTACAGGAGACGCAAAAAATTAAACATAGGCCATGACTGTTCATAAAATACCCGTGCTTCTAAGTACTACCCAACTGAAGCTCATCTACTGTTAGAGAGAACCATGGTCTTATGGTTATTTTTTCTTCAAGTTCCGTCTACTTCGGTATCTGAAGATCCGATGCGAAGAATGTCATCGAGTGCAACAGTAGAACACCCTTTTCATGAAGTTGCAAAGAGGCATTTTGACCTCTTTCGGTGTTAACAGGCCCTCTCGGGGGGAACCATAAAGACGAAGGCATGCTTGTACTGGTGTAAACGAGAATGCGTCCGTAAGATATTATGGGCCGTGCTGTTTGATATGAAACCACGTGACTCAAACAATTTCTTGACGTATGACATTGGCTTGCAGTTGACATGGTGGTGGCCGGGCTGACCTGGTACTGCCCAGCTCAAGATTATACCTGTTGAGAGAATGATGGATTTAATAGAGGCAGTGAACTGTCTGGTTACTGGCACCCCTTTTTGGACAGTTATGTTCTGAACATATTTCTTATCCCTGAATTTTCATGGTCTTTCATTCTAATATTCTGTCTTTAGCTGGGGACAGTCCTATCCTAATAGAGAGAAAAAAAATATATATGTATATATAAACAAATGATCAGCATATCTGTAAAACAATCATCACGAAACTAACAATAATAATGAAAAAAATCAGCTTAAATTTGAACAATGCATCAGAATACATGTCAAACATAAGAGTTCCAACCAGTGCTGACCTTTGCATGCATGCCTGATCAGATTCTCGACGAAATTAGCTTCGTACTTCTTCGGGACGTGCTCAGCCACCTCAAGACTCATCACCCAGTCGTACTTCTTGCCCAGGTGCATCGGCTGCGACAGGTCCCCGTAGCGCATGAAGCCGCCTGAGAGATCCTCGATATTCAGGGCGCCGTCGTAGCCTGGAGAACGGTGGATAGATGCTTAGTAAAGACTATATGTAGTCTTTGATGCTTAGTTAGGAACACGCCAAAGCACGTGAGTTACAGGAACACGCAGAAGCACGTGAGTTGCTCCGGAGAGCAAGAAGCATGAGTGCATCTCAGTCTCGTGACAGTGCTTGAGTGCAGGAACACGCAGAACACGCACACGTGAGTTGCAGGAACAGCAGAAGCACGCAGAAGCACGTGAGTTGCAGGAACACTGAGTGCAGGAACACGCAGAAGCACGTGAGTTGCAGGAACACGCAGAAGCACGTGAGTTGCCGCAGAAGCTTGCAGTCAGGGGCTTTCTGGGTTAGGTTAAGCTTGGTTATGTCAGGTTTGGTTTGGTTAGGTTAGGTTATGTCAGGTTAGGTTTGGTTAGGTTAGGTCAGGTTAGCGTAGGTCAAGTTCAGTTTAGTCAAGGACAGACAGAATTCTCGACCCAGTATAACATGCGATAACAAACCGTATTATTCTTTATATGTTCTGTATATATGTACGAACGGGGGTGTATATGTACATCTGCATGACCAAAGTTACCTCTATATGGACCTAATGTCCGGAAGCAGTCAAAGCAAATAGAAAAAATCATGGAAGCATATATATATTTTTTTTTACAAAGAATAAAACAAACAAATAAATAATGATAGATACATAATAATAAATAATAGACTTCCTCATTGTAGGCTCACCTGTCCAAGACTTGACCACCTGGGGTTTATCCGTTAGGCCGCCTCTTTCCATCTCACGGGCGTACTCTTTGTCCATACGTTCAATCTCAGCCTTATTCTTGGTCTTGATAATGTTGTTTTTGACTCTCAGGAAGCAACGGCCATAGTGGCCTCTTCCAGCACCCAGATCCAAAATGTCATGGTGCTGGATCACTTTCTCTAGTGAGTTGCACATCTAGAGTGGGGCAGTAGATGGATCTACATCATTTTCACAGTTTACCAACGTATTCTCATAAATTGATACAGCTATAGATTTATATATATTTCTGAGGAAGTCCCTATTTCTCGTTTTTTCATCCTAAGATGAAAAAATCCTAAACTTTCCTACCCTTCCGTCCCATGTGGGGTTCCACTTGTCTAGGATGTCTTGTTCGTTGAGGCAGTACCCGCCTGTGGGCATCACTCTGCCCTCTGCTGCACAGTACAGAAGGAAAATGTAGTTGTATGCCACTCTGATCCGCTGCTCGAGCTCGTCCTATGTAACAAAAAGGAGGGTTTGTGTGCTCAATTCGCAATATTTGCTTCTGTGATTAAGATCGTGTTATGTTTTTTATAAAGCCTCGTCCATTTGGGGTTTCAGGGCAATGTTCTTATTGATGTAACTGTATCATAAGTATTATTGTTTATGTCACATTGTAATCTGTTGCCACTGTTGTGTTTTCTGTTTGATATGTTTTACGTGGCTTGTTCTTACCAATATCGACATGATTTTAGCGTCGCCACATCATGTACACATTGAAAGCCGTCCCGTAATTTTCAATGTAAGCCAGCTATTTCAGTAGAAACATGGGTAACAAGTGTTCAGCAGGTGATGGAGCACTGTGTGTGTGTGTGCATATGTAGATGAGTCACTGTGTGTGTGCCTGTGCGCGTGTGCTCGCATATGTATACAAAACACCGCAATATGGAATCTCCAACTTTTTAGTTTTCATACTTTTCAGTTTCATCCTTGCCACTCACTATTCTAGGGAAAATTCCATCCTCAGATGACGACGACGATGATGGCGCTGACGTCGACGACTCACTCGAGTCCATTAAAGCCTCCAAGCTTTTCCTCGAGGGGAGCTGGACTCCTCTGGGCATCATGTCGAGGGAGAAAGCCAAGATCAAGAACATGATCACGACCGCCGCCAGAAACCAGCTGCTCGAGGGTATCGGTCTCTGAGAAGGAAGGAAGGAGGTTTCAGGATTTATTAGAAAAGAATGCATGCAAATACACCATCATTATCCTTAATCCATATTATTACTATACGATTAATATCATCATTAATAAATTAGTAATTAATATCCTCGTTATCGATAGCATTACCATTATCTTTGATCTTTATAATGAAGTTCAAAACCAAATGCAGACCATAAATTATGTATTATTTCACAGGTCGACATCATCACGGAGGGAGTGATACCGAGTTTTCCTTTAACGCGACCAAGAATTCAACAGATGGAAAAGAATTCTGTGACGCGATGTCCATACTCCACAGTCATCTACATCTTGCGCGCCAGACTCTACGCACCTCGTCATGGGTGGTGGCAGTAACCCACCCGTAATTGGATACCACACGACATGGAGATTGAGGGTATTGGATACTGATACTAATTGGGTTTGCATCAGTTGGATTCTCAGTAGTTGACCTTCGGTTTCCATGACGCCTCTCACCAAAAGATATCAAAAGCCATCTAGGATATACTTCAATACAGTTTATCCGTCAAAAAAGATAACCAATACAGGGAACCAACTATCCGTCAACCATGGCCAGTTTCTCGCTCGGCAGGGATTGAGTGGCAGCAAACATTCATTGAGTTGCTAGAAGTATTCCTACCTTTCTAAGCATATTCATATTTAGCACAACCCACCAAAATATCAAAAGCCATCTAGGATATACTTCAATACAGTTTATCCGTCAAAAAAGATAACCAATACAGGGAACCAACTATCCGTCAACCATGGCCATTCCTATTACGTCACAGGATTTTGGGTGTTGCTCAATGTTGCGCGACACCCTGAATACCACCGGAAAAGATGGTATATGGCAGTTGCCACCCCATAAGTATTGGCCTGGTTGAGAAATATAGCAGTACTGTCAAGGTTGTATTAAGTGCTCTAAAGGCGATGTCCCATGCGTGGCACTGGTACCTCAGTCCCATTCTGTTTGCTTATTCTAAGGTGCTACAGTCACCAGTTTTGTTTTATTGAGATTTTTATATGAGTAAGATACCCGGGGACCTATGAGGATTTTGCAATAGGTATGAACTAGAAAAAGGAGCACTTCAGTGGCAGTTACTTTTCCTTTCATGGCACCAGATAGAGCTGCTGGAGCAACCCTTGTGCAACCATCCCAATCCTATCGTCCATGCTGCTACTGGTTCCTGGAGAAACTGAGAGAAATCATCATGGCTGGGATGACAGCTATGCCATTCAAGTGCATCCTGGCCATTGACAGACTAGAATTCTTTGGGCGTATGCTGTCCAATGGATCCAAGGGGCTATAGCAAGTTAACCTGTCCAAGATCAGACACCTTGACTGCAGACAAAAAAGAAAGTGATTCCATTTCTTGGCCTGACTGGATGTATATCGCCAGTCTTTTCCTAACAGTGTAGGCACTGCTGACCACAAACCAGTGTGATAAAAGGGGGGCAGATAAACAAGGTATTTTGGAGGTACTTCAATAAGCAGCGCCTTCCTCAAATTCTTTCTGAGTGACCAGACAATCTTTACGCTGAATGATCACTCACTCCCTTGTGAACTTATGGATCGGATATGGGCATAAGTGCCGTTCTGCTTCAGGAGCAGAAAGATAAATTGTTCCCCATTAACTGTAGTAGAACGAAGCTGTTCGATTGTAAAAGACACTCAGCCATGGAATATGAATATCGTCACTGTTTAGGCGTAGAGGAAATTCTGCAACTATTTCCATAATACTTGGTTCATTTTACTGACAGATTCTCAGCCACTGGCCAACCTCGGGAGACTGAATCATGAGGTGGGCCATGTACCTGCAGAACTTTTGGATCCCAGTTATCAAGAAAAAGAAGTGACATCCTCGGGGCAGCTTTACTTAGCAGAGTACACCTGTCAAAGGAAGCTGATGTCCAAGAAAGGGGGAAAATGAGTATCAAAGACCAAGATGTTTAAATGATAATGTCAGAAAACGCCATAAGATGATCTGTTAATATCCCTTATGAATGTTGATCGAAGAGGGAAAATGAGTATCAAAGACCAAGATGTTTAAATGATAATGTCAGAAAACGCCATAAGATGATCTGTTCATCTTAGGGACTCTTGCCAAACTGATTGGAGCAGGTCTGTGGGATCTTAAATGGGTACCTATGCCTGAGTGGTGGCAGTAGGTCACCCGTGATTGACTGCCGCAAAATGTAGAGGAAGATGGTATCGAGTGGATGGATAAATGGGGCATCAGCAGGATTCTCATCATTACTATCATTACCACCACTACCGTTAGTATAACCATTATCATTGTTATTGTTAGTATTATCATCTTCATTGTTATCGTCCTTGTCGTTACTTATTAATATTATCTCGATTTTCAATTTTGCTTGTTACTATCATTATCCTTGTTCTCACTATTGCTTAGGAAATGTTGGACTTCAGTTCCACATTTAGGATATTTTCTTAAGTACAGGAAAACAAAATTCACTTACCATTTTTATCTTGTGGTGTGTATTCACTTCAGCAAATCTGAAACAGATATTTGTATAATCATTATCATTTTTATCATTAGTATCATCCTGACTGGCCGATAGCAGACACCTGAGTGATCCCCAATCCAAGCTCCCCTTGTTCCCGATTTCCTGGTACCTTTCTGGCCAATCTGTTATCCAAAACCTAGAATTTTTAGACCCCACACCAAGCAGCCAGCAACTCAGCTCAGACAGTAACTCTGTCGTCTGTGGAGCTGACCACCTCCCTCTTAAAACACCATTCATAACTACCATAGCATCTGCAACACCCAGCCATCTTAGTGAGATCTCACAACTTACTTAGAGCATTATAAGAGATGGATGTACTAAAATCCGGTAGTAGTTAAAATATCTAGACTGATGACCCCCAGTGACGAGAACGTATAGGGAACTACACCTACTCGCTTGAGGAAGTAGGCAGGGGATGTGCAGCTGACCTGACCCCTGACCTCCACACTTTGCACATTATCCAGGCTGGATCATGCCACTTCCTGATTGGTAGACAGCCGTTACATCATGGTAGACAGTGTCTATCTACTACTTCACTGGTATTATCTCTTTGAGGAGTGTTTGCAAGGATGTGACTGCCCACTTTGATGGCTCGGACTACAGGTGAAGTGGAGTTTCGTGGGGTAGCCATTAAGGCTCTCCAGTCGACAAAGGACTG